TTTGATGCTGTGAAGTTGTCCTGTCCCCTTAGTAGAAAAACACCCCCAAAGCATAATGTTTCCACCTCCATGTTTGACGGTGGAGGATGGTGTTCTTGGGGTCATAGGCAGCATTCCTCCTCCTCCAAACACGGCGAGTTGAGTTGATGCCAAAGAGCTCCATTTTGGTCTCATCTGACCACAACACTTTCACCCAGTTGCCCTCTGAATCATTCAGATGTTCATTGGCAAACTTCAGACGGGCATGTATATGTGCTTTCTTGAGCAGGGGGACCTTGCGGGCGCTTCAGGATTTCAGTCCTTCACGGCGTAGTGTGTTACCAATTGTTTTCTTGGTGACTATGGTCCCAGCTGCCTTGAGATCATTGACAAGATCCTCCCGTGTAGTTCTGGGCTGATTCCTCACCGTTCTCATGATCATTGCAACTCCAAGAGGTGAGATCTTGCATGGAGCCCCAGGCCGAGGGAGATTGACAGTTCTTTTGTGTTTCTTCCATTTGCGAATAATCGCACCAACTGTTGTCACCTTCTCACCAAGCTGCTTGGCAATGGTTTTGTTTCCCATTCCAGTTTTGTGTAGGTCTACAATCTTGTCCCTGACATCCTTGGAGAGATCATTGGTCTTGGCCAGGATTGAGAGTTTGGAATCTGATTGATTGATTGCTTCTGTGGACAGGTGCCTTTTATACAGGTAACAAGCTGAGATTAGGAGCACTCCCTTTAAGAGTGTGCTCCTAATCTCAGCTCTTTACCTGTATAAAAGACACCTGGGAGCCAGAAATCTTTCTGATTGAGAGGGGGTCAAATACTTATTTCCCTCATTAAAATACAAATCAATTTATAACATTTTTGACATGCGTTTTTCTGGATTTTGTTGTTGTTATTCTGTCGTCTCTCACGGTTCAAATAAACCTACCATTAAAATTTTAGACTGATCATTTCTTTGTCAGTGGGCAAATGTACAAAATCAGCAGAGGATCAAATATTCCCTCACTGTAAGTCCAATGTGCCTATTTAAAGGAATACATAGCACGCTGCTAAGGACTCTCATCCCCGCGTCGAAAGGCAGTGCTGTGACAACGCTTGCCCCTGGCCTCGATGCGCGTAACCCGAGTTGACCTGTCTAAGATTGTGAACCCTGGCTCGTGAGACGAGCTAGGTTTTATTTGGGGGGGGGGGGGGCAGAGCTTTGTGACGTCATATTTGAGGGGGGTCTGACTTTTTGTGACGCCGTGTGACGAAGGGGGGGGGGTAAAAAATCGTCCAAAATCGCGTGACGTCATTTATGGACGGCCCCACAGCTGTCCGTATGTCCAGTTGTCTGTTCGGACCGATAGTCGTAAATTTAACCACCGCGCAATAGATGGCGGTGGCGTCATCTACATCTGCAGAACGTGAAGAACCAGTGGCATTTACAGGAGATTATACAACTTTTGAAGCCATCCCCCATGTTTAGTGTAAATGCCGTACAAAGTGTTTGGAATCGACAGGAGTAAAGTTGTACTCACGAATAAATCGACTTGCGAACAGACCTCTGGGAACTAACTCGTTCGTAAGTAGAGGAGTCTCTGTAAAGCCGAAACACGCATTCGATAAAGCGGAGTTGAGCAATGTTTTACTGTATTAATTTACACACCAGGTCATCCATGGTGAATGTTTATCATCACCATACTTGTTAACCTAAGGAAGCCCTCGCTGGCTTGTTAGTCTCACGACTATTTCATGACGTTAGTGCCGATTATATTATTCCCGTGTAAATTCCAATCGAGTACTGTGCCGGAAATTAATTTTGCCTGGTTGGAGTTAACGGCGTATATTTTTATTAATACCTGGTCATGCCCCTCTGCACCGCTATGTATGTATTTTGAACTTTTTTGTTTGCACCGTATGCGCTAATTGGAGGTGCGGGTGAAGGACAAACTAAAACACAAAAAAGCCGAAATAACCTGGCAATCGTCGCATGTGTTTATTCACATTGTGTATTTAAGGAAACTGCTGGTTTGGTAAAGAATCCTGAAAAATTGTCACAAAGGGGTTATGACGGGGTCACCTACTTCTGCTTGAGCTGGGCTTATCGAGTGAGTCTTTGTTCACGCGCAATAACCTTTACTGGATCGGTCAACGCTACCAGTGGCTCATTTCTCTTTTTAAATATTAGGGTTTGTTTGTACAGCGTGGTCGGGATGGCAGAGTAACTTGTAACACAGCCAACAGGGCCTATATATGCTTAAATAGGGCCGTCAATTCAATTTCTTCAACCAGTTTGAAGGAAGCCGGATTCTTTCAACGCTTGTCTCCTCGTGAAGATTACGCACTCTTCTGTCAGTGACATGTCAATTTAGCAGCATATGTTTTACAGGCCTCACCCTGCTGATGAGGCCAGAAGGTCGAACCCAGCAGAATTTGCTGCTTTAACGATATTCTGTTTTTAAAACATTAGTGTGGAATTTTGATTTAAAGCTTTCGTGACTGCAGGGATTCATATTCTTGGTTCTTTCGGTCAAGTCACTTAGAAGGGAAATAATAAAAAATAAAACAATAACATTCTCACGACGTTTCGATTGCAACACAAGCAATCATCATCAGGTGTGAAAACCACAGCAAGAAAATTTGGGAAAAAAGTGGCGTTTTTTAAACTTATTTTTCTAAATATTAGTGTGGAAGGCAAGTAGGCTGTTGGATTAAACATGGATTTTGAAGGTAAGCAGAGTTGAGCCTTGTTAGTGCTTGGATTCGTTGGCTGTTGTAGGTGGGTGGATAAGGAGATGGTAGTGCTGAGTATCACCTCCGATAGTATGATTCCTACAGCTTGAAACCCAAGACTCATTTGTGGAATTGGTCAAACGTCCCAATGCAGGCCGCTGCTTAAGAATGTGTCTCAGTGAGACTTACCTGAGTAAATAATTATTATGACTATCCCAATGTGTGGTGACTGACCATATGAGAGGTAAGGCAGGAATTGGCAGTCCTAATGTTATATGGCCTATCTTACCCAAGGGTGACCTTTCTCTGGAGGAAACAAAACTGTTCCCTTCAAATGGCCTCAAAATCCTGCATTTCACATTCTTCATTCGTGATTTCACACAGCCAACTGGGGCCCATAGCTCTACACATCATTGTCATTGTTTTTGTTGCTCACTCAAAAACATATCCCGCCTATAACTCTTCACAGACTGTTGAGACAAGTGCCGTTAGCGAGCACCTATGAAGGCCGGCACGGCACACGAACGGGTGGGTGGCCAGCACCACACCCGACTACCTTTCTCTCCTCTGTGACGATGGTTACACACCGCACCAGGTACTCATTTGAGGCTGAGTCGACCTTGGGGAGGCCCAGGACCGGTTCAGATATTCATCGCCGGTGTTGGCCGTGAGCGGGAATCGAACCCCGGTCGCCGGGTTCATAGCGCAGCACGCTAACCACTACAGTATCGCTCCCCAGTGTGCCACCACTCACATGCGTACACACCCAGACGCACACATTGGGGGATCAATATTTACATACGAGCTATGAAAAGCAAGATAGGCGTACACGGTGGAAAATGTACATCAATCACGCCCCTTGGGTGTTTACGGTATGAAGCACAGGGCACTCGCGAGAACGTAAACCAGCTTGGGCATCGGTGCATTCCATCACAGCTTCATCAAAATAAACAGTCTCCCTCATCTGATTACCACAACTTCCAAACTCCATCTGTCCAGGTCACCCTGTGGCCTTGCCCAGCGATCATGTTATCTATTTTACAACACGCAAAGGTGTGCATTGCATGTACCACCGCCAGCATGTACCAACCAGCATCATCAGGTGTTTTAACAAAAGCTCAGCTCTCACGAGAGCTGAGCTTAATCGAGTTGGTGGTCTGCATGAGGCCTGCACACTGTTAGCACATGTACATAACCCTAACATGACCTTGTATAGCTATACACGTGTAGCTTGTACACCTGCTTTCTCATGTACATCTGTAACATCATGTAATTTACGCGTGTGTGCAAACCCTGCATGCGCGTAGAAGCGACTTTGAACCAGATAATTAATTGTCAGCCGGTACCGACATTTGCTGTTGTAGTACAGGCTGGACCCAGGGTACTCAAGCTGTACAGTGATTGCAGCTTTGATCGGGCGCTCTAGCCAAAGGATCATCTTCTCTCTCAAACATCAGTCTGCAAAACCTCACACCTGGCACCGCGATGAATTACACGCGGCCGTTGCTCCCAAACTCTGGAATGCTGCACAAATGATCACGTCAGCCGGTCCCCTCTGCGAACCGTCAATGTTAAAAGCATTGGTTTTTCAGCAGCATTAATCATATACGACGGGTGGCATGTATTACTGCTGTGCGTGTTGAGGTTCTTGTGGGCGAGCCGTGGCGCAGCGGGTAGCGTGCTGCGCTACGAACTCGGCGACTTCGAGTTCGATTCCTGTGCACTCCCAACACCCCAGTGATCATTGTCTGAACCGGTCCTGTGCCTTCCCTAGGTCGACTCAGCCTCAGATACGTATACATTGCCACTAGGGAGACAAAGGTGGCCCGGGCGTCGTGCTGGACACGCACCTCCTCGTGTGCCATGCCGGCCTTCATAGGTGCGCACTAACAGCACTTGTCCCAAAAGTCTACGGCATTAAGGTTTTAATGGGGTGGTGTGTGTCTTTGTTGAGGTTCTTGAAACTATGCTCTTTTGATAAGGTGCCCGATTAATTTAAATGACCAACCTTTTGACACACCGTGAATAGACAAAGACAACTTTTCAGCAATTAATTCACATGCCAAGCATTTGTACAACGGAACCTCCCTGCGCAGGCTACAATAATCTTCAAATGAGGACAACTATACACAGAGACAGTGGCTTGTAACCGTGCTGAACGTGAAACCAGCATGTCGTGAAGATGCTCACACAACGGCTGAGAGGAATGCGCTTAGGAATTCCTAATTTATGTAATTGTAAGCTCATGACCATTACGATTGTACTTGAAAAAAACAAAAGTGACCACAACTCATGCATTATGGTTTCTCTCAAGGCCCATGACTTTTATTTGTTTTGGCTTGCACACATTCACATCCTTTGTCAGCATCGGCACCTGCTGCATACCATCGTCCAGTAGCCCGGGGGGACATGACCCCTCAGAGCATCGTGGCCGATACCTGCACACGTGCTTCACGAGCTGTTGGAACACAAATGCCTTGACACACGTACAGTACAGCTTTACATCTCCACCTGTGTGCTCTTGCACACACAACAATAATAATAATGTCCCCCTGTTCATGCACGTATACCTCAATGAGAATGCCCCCCACCCCCCCGTTCCACGTGTGTAAGTCTCGATGAGTCTTTGAGAATGTTTTAAAGGAGAGGGCCCTGCATTGGAATGTTTGGAGGGATAAGTTTAGGATACACAAATGTCGGAGTTGAATGAATTAGGGGTTTTAGGAAAATGTACACGGTCTTAATTTAAGTTGTCTTCATGCCGACAATATGATTCTTGATTACCATTTAATGAGTGTTGGGCATGTGGAAGGAAACTGGAGTATCCCGTGAAGACCAACATGGGATATATAAAAAATGCATTGCTTTTCTGTCATCTTATGACCACCTCCCATCCTCACCTGTACATGTGTACACATATACCTATACACCTTTATACAATTGCCCTGTACACATACTTTTGCACAACTGTCACACATGTACACATAGCTACCATAACTTTGTACACCCACACACCTGTAACGCGTACACTTCCTGGTTTTTTTTATCTACACTTGTGCACCTGTAACACCATGCAATTAACACATGTATGTAAAACCTACATACACTTAAAACTACATCCAGGTGTAAAATCATGTGCACCTGTAAACTTGTAGGTGAATGCATCTCGACATGTTTTCATGACCTTGTTTGAAAGGACATGCATCTGCATTAAATAAACAGTATGTGTCTGCATAGGTAGAAATCAAGCTTACACCTTTATATGTGCTATGGGTGGTAAAAGGTAAAGGTTCAGCCCTGCAATTTTTTGCTCATACGACTGCCTCCACTATTATAAGAACGTTGTCAGGGACGCTTAAGCCCACTCCAACTGAGTGGCTCCCGGTGCTGTCCCACACCGTCCCACCATCCGTGGGAAAAAAATAAAAAAACAAACTCCGACCTCCGATCAACAAAGTCCGGAACAACCCCACAGTGAACGTGCCTATGATCACACCATCCGTTCTGGGAAACAGCAGAGGGTATCCACGCAACTGGCAGCGAGCCATCCCCAACAGCGGAGGTTCCTGGCTTCGACCTCCTCAGACAGTGGATGGCACTCAATCGAATCCGCACAATGGGACGCGGAGGGGCAATGAGGCAGTGGCCACCAGCTTCACGAGTGGAAGGCGAGGGATGCGACTCCAGACCGTGAGATCATAGCGTATCAACTGCCCACCGAGGACCTGTTGCTGGAGCCACTTCATTTCTCCACGTGGCATCTCAGGAAGCCACCGAAGTGGATCGCCAAATTGGACATCCCACGGTCAGCTTGGTCCCGTCATACGGCAGAAAGAAAGAGTAGAAGCCCGAGAATATATTTGGTGTACTATACCACACTGACCAGATGGGTTGTAAGAGTTGGATGTACCCACGCTTTACCTCGCCACTCGTGACCTGCCGATCATAGACTAACTGGACTGTAACCAATCATACTGCTGGGTAGACAGGCGGTGGTGGAGTGGGGGAGGATTTAAGAAACTTGCCCAATTTTTTCCACTACTGCGCCAGAAACTTGAATCATACCACCAACCTCTGTATTACAAATCTTGTGTGCCAACCATAACACCATTGTGGCAGCTCCCATAGGAAGTACTACGCAAATGTGAATTGATATCAATTCTTAAGCCCATGATATACACATCAAATCATGTGCATAAAAATTATATTTTTTGACAAGTGCGTGTTGTATTTCATGATTTTGCATCCCCACTGCAGTCCCATTAGAGGCGTTATAATCAATTCCTGTGTATATGTGTGTACATACATATACAGTATGTTAAACACTGTTTTATCATCACGTTTTACAAGTATTTAAAATTATATTTTCCATTCCTGCCATTGCCAAATGTTTTGTAAAGGGCACCCATTAGGATGACCGAGTCAGCAGCTTTGGCCTCCACGTTAAGCACTCCACAGTAGATCCATCATCTACGTTGGGACCTTCACGCAATGCTTCTCAAGGTGGCATCTCCATGCCTTCACAAGGATTCCTCCACATAATGCCCTGCAAGCTAGAACGTTCATGCCCTGCTCCCCAAACCTAGTGCTTCAACACTTGGACCCCCATAGGAAGCATCCTCCTTGGCATAACCTTCTATGCTTATCCCTGCCCTCTGGGCCCTCCAAACCTGGCTCTTCACGGTGAATCCTCTACGTCATGGCCTCTCTGGTGGTGGACTACGCCAGGCCCTTGACAATGAACCTTCCACTCTGAACACCCCCCCCCACCATCACCCCATGGAATCCACGCACACCTTGTTCACTCTCATTTGATGGTTCAGCAATCGCTCACGAGGCACCGGGTCTCCCCGGGCATGTAGCCCTGCGTCCATCGTGGGTTAATCTTGGCGCGTAGGCACAGCGGGAGGAAGGCGATTAGGGATGTCTCTTGTTTGCATGTCGCCAGTCTCGCGTCTGCGTAATTTAAACTTCTCCTTCCGGAGACCTTGAGTAGGCGATGCTCGGTCACCGAAAACAAAAATACCAAAAAAAAAACCCTGCAACCATTGTCTGTTTTTAAATTAAGTGAAGCTCTATACAACCCCGTCCTTCCTCTGGGTGAAGCCAGGGCGGCGGTGGTGGGGCCGGTCGTCATTTGCCAGTACGACGCGGCACGAGCAGCGGACCCAGGATGCCCACGGCAGCGCCAACGGTGGCCAGGAGCCAGTAGTAAGCAGGCGAGCTGCGCCGGCAGGTCATGGTGTTCACCATATCCGCCTGTGCATGCCACATGCAACAGACACAGCGCACACATACAAGCACATGCAGTCAGCACAAAAGTACACAATACATGCAATACAGACACCAAAGACAAAGATCCCCCTTATAGCCTAAACATACACCATACGTGCGCACACCATGCAGACGTACACACTGAAAGCACACAATACAAACTGCACGCAATGCACACACACTCGTGCCACACACACCACACGTGTTCACACTTTATGCACATATCACACATGCATACGTGTTCATACACATGCACCACATGTAGAAAGTATGTGCGCACACCCTTTGCGTGCACTACACACACTGCATCCATGTACACCACATCCCGCAGCAATAATCATTACTGCCAAGTAACAGCAGGAACCCCAACGCACATGGATCACGCACAAATAACCCCCATAAGGCCTGCTAGAATGCTGATGCGAGCACTTTCATCCCTTTGTGGTTCGTGAGTCTCACTTAAATAAATTGTTCCTGCCGAATTTAATAGCTTGACACATATGGACACATTGTTCATCTGCTGCTTACAATTCAGAGCCTGAGTCAAGACATTCCATATTCTGTGGCAGGGGCAATTCATTCCGTAGGACACGATTCTTGATAACATTTCAGTGGCATTACTACATATACATGTCTTCAAGCTAGTTCCACCCCGTTCAATTATGATAATGTATTTATTTCTCAATTTTAATCATTACTCATAGCACTGGTGACCTGACGCCTCGTTACTTGGACCACCTCTCATTGCAATTAGCCTCTTGGATAAGTGTTTTCTGATCCAGGTCACAGATGATGGTGGGATTGTACACGGCGCACCATTTATAATGGTTCTGTTTGGTCAACATGGGCTTGTAATCTGTGCGCTTTTCGGCTCTGTTTGAATTAAAAATGGTGAAAGAACGAGGCCGAGAGAGTGGGTTTGTAAAAATGAAATTGATGATGGGAAGCGACGTAGCAGCATGCCTGGAGGAAAAACTTTATAATAAGTATATATTACCAGCTGTGACATACAGATCATATAAGGATACGTAAACAGGCCAGAGCGAGCGGCTCGCAATCAAAAGGTTGCACATTCAAATCCTGATTGGGGGTTGATTTGGCACATCTGGTTGACTTGGCCCATCTCTGCAGGGTCGATAAATCGAGTACCACATTGTGAGAAAGTTAACAGTGGCTCTCCTATGAATAGACTGCCCCCCCCCCCACACGCCATTAGAATGTGGAATTTCCTCCACTCGCTCATCACTATGTATGTTGAACTTCTTTCACACCGTACGTGGCCAATCGTGCTAATCGGAGGTGCGAGGAAGGACAACAAAGCTGTAAACAGGAGATGACACGGAAATCACTGACATCTGATTTTTGACTTAAGTAAAATTTTAAGAATCCCACCATGGGGGGGGAAAAAAACCGGCAAATAAAAAAAATCAAGCCAAGCGTGTGGAGTCACGTGGGTGGGGGTGCGGGGTGATCGGGGGGGGGGGTGGTCAGGCGGGACGCACCCATCCCCCGCGGGCGCGGATCCAGGGCACGAGCGTCGCGCTGAAGACGTCGCCCACACAGTCGACGAGCGCGTGGACCGTAGCCGGCTGGCCCTGCGTCACGCAGTCCACGGCCAGGCCCGCCGACACGGCGAGCAGCGACACCACCTTTGCCCACGTGATGCCTACGCCACGGTGTGGGGTGGGGGGGGGGGGGTCACCACCGGGGGGGGGGGGTCGTAAGGGGACGCACGGAGATGGGCGAGGATGCACGGGGGAAACTTTTTTTTTTGCGAAGTTGTTGAGCAGTGCCCAAATGCCCACTGCGTCAAGCGGCCAACAGCGAACAGCAAGGTACAGTAGATGAGAGTGTTACACACTTCTTGAGCAGGGGGAATTGCAAAGTGGCCAGAGGGAAGTGATCAAAATACAGATATGTTTAACGACGTGTAACTTTATGCGTCACTTAGGCTATGGTATCCGAATCCAAAATAAGATATTTTCGACAATGTCCGCAGTGGGTTTTTTTTTTTACAAACACGCAGCTCTAAGGTTCAACTTGGCGACAGACGCCACTCGCCCACCACTTGTCCCCCTATGACTCCCATGACCTCAGACGAGCCCAGGTAAAGAATGCAGCTCACTTGGGAAAGGCAGCTACCCACCCCCACTGCATTCGAGCCATGTGGCCCAGTGGCTGCTGATTCGGACCAGTTATTCAAGCGATAGATTCCGGGCACAGACTACAAGCCTGGTTCATGAACCGAGCCAGTCCGTTTTGCCCAGTATCCGTAGGATCGTCATTCGAGGGCCACATGAACATGCATTCTGGAGAGGCTCCGGTGGGGTTGGCGGGGAGCATGGGGAGTGACTCGGGGTGAGCAGCAGCCGGGAATCCGGGTAGGGGTCGGCACCTGTGCCGAACAAGACGTGAGCCACGGCCTGCAGAGCCTCCGTCACGGCTGCCTCAGACGCCACCGAAAGGCCCAGGTGCTTGTCCACGTTGCGGTAGAGGCTCGGGTACATGTATTCCAGCTCGTCACCTGGCACACAGCACGCAGAGTACACACAAACCCGAAGTAAGGATAAATAAACGCCATCGCAATACACACACGCGCGCGCATGCAGACACTGACATGCTAATCCAACAACACGTCAATGCGTGCACAACTAAACAACCAACACCACAATCACTAAAAAGACAAAGATCCACCGCATAGCCTACACTACTGTTGGCGACAACAGCCTTGGAAGGCCGGCACGGCAAGCAAGAGGATGAAGTCGCCAGCTTCACACCTGGCTGCCTTTTATTTCCCCAATGTTGATGTTTACACACTGTAGCAGGTACTCATTTAAGCCTGAGTCGACCTAGAGGAGGCCCAGGACCGGTCCAGATATCACCGATGTGAGCAGGAATCCAACTTGGGTCGTTGGGATCGTAGTGCAGTGCGCCAACCAACGCACCATGGACAAACACACGCACCCACACACTCGACGACATCACAAAATGTGCAATGCAGAACTTCACTCGTAATATTCTGGATAATAGGAAGTGTGCGTAATGAGCCATGTGACTTCGTCTCATTCACAATATCTTGAACAAGCGATCACTAGTGAGCTGGGATACTTCCTCTCGTCCACAACAGCAATGAACAATATGACGTTACCAGCATGCATCTCGTATGCATTACGTATGTAACAAATCACCCCCCCCTCCCCCACGAGATTCGATAAATCGTCGCAATTCAAACTCAAAATGCGATTCGAATATCATCTGTTGTTTCGTCTGCCCGACCTCGTATCGAGTGCACATGATGATCCATCACATTTGACGTGTTCTACATTCCATCGGCCTGAAGGTAACTGGAGAACATTATTTACACATGATTTGCATGAATAGTGAATAATTTATTCTCACACGCACTGTTCCATGCACGCGTCGTGAAGCATGAGAATATATTTGCATTATTTGAAAGCAATCCGTGCTTGCCCAATCTGCGCCAAGAGATGCGTACACAGAAGGGTAGGACGGCGATCCTCATCACCCGGTCAGCGTCGTCTACGACATGGCAACGGTTAAAGCTCAACGTCATCTAATCCGACACTTGCTTGCGTGAACCTTGAAACCTCCGCAAGGTTTGTACGGAACAAAAACAAAGCAAAAAACAAGGTGGTGGGGGGGGGGACGACGTTCCCAGCACGTGCAGCGAAACATCGGATATAGTGCCGAACAACACACAGCACAACCCGAAAATGCATCGGAAAGCTGTACAGCAGCAGAGCTGCAAAAACAACCCAGCGCAGTTGCACTCCTCACGATATATTATTGGTATGCACAGGCAGTGGCATGGTGCAGTGTGGGCTGACGCAATCACTCTGCCGTGATGGCACGTTCTAGGCAATCCCCAGGATCTCAGTGATGCAGCCAGGTGCTAGACCTGTGTCTATGGAGCCAAAGTCCTGGGGCTGTGCTACAGGAGCCTGGCTGTGGAGAAGGGTCAGACAACAGAAAAAGTCATCTGTTTATCTGATAACATACAGATTAACTAAAAGTGAGACACGATGGAAAGAATATTTGGCAATAAGATATGCTAAACCTTACCTGTTTTTAAAATAAATAATATTTGCGCCTCGCTTCCAAATGACGAGCGTTTTCGCACACAAAAGAGCAACCAAGTAACTTCAAAGCTCCAAATTATCCACGACGTCAGATATCTTAACTGTATGTAAAAAAAAACCATACTACCCCAGTCCGATTCCAAAATGTAGCTTGCAATCCCGTCCTGCATCAACTAATTAAATGTAAATTCTGAATGAATGCATGGTTACGGCTGTACCGTGTAGCTGTGGCGTAAAGCATAGCACTGCAGCTAGGCAGCCCTCTCCAGTTGTTGCAATGTTTGCATGCTGGCAGCCTTCATTTCTAATTCCTCTGGTCTCTTGCTGGCTGCTTGTTGTATGGTACGCCACATGGCTTTCGTCAGCTGCTGCTGCTGCTGCTCGAGACAGAGCTGTTGAGTCTAAGTGGCTGCCCCGCTTGCCTTTTACACAAGCCACGCGACTGAAACGATGTCTGGGAGGGGTGGGCGGATTTTTGGCTGCGGAGTCTGTCTCGGCAGCCGTCCAGTTCAGTTTATCCAGGTGTTGAACTGCGGGCCACATGATTTGACTGCTACAGATTGGGCTACAACTGGTGGCGAACTGTGGGTGGCTGAGTGTTGATTGCATATTAAATTTGCGTGCGATTCCAAAAAGGTTGCGTGTTTATGACCAAAGCGCCCAGAATGTGCCCGATCTCACCAGCTCTCAGTCTAAAGAGAGTCGAGTCTGGGCAGTGCTTGGATTGGACGACCATCGTGAGACCACAGGGGCTTAGTCAGTGGGACACAGAATGTGATTGGCTACCGATGCCCTTGCAAGTAGCTCAGCGGAGGAGAGCGTGCAGCTCTCGATCAGAAGGTTGCGAATTCAAATCCTGGTTGGGGGGGGGTTGACTATGGCTTTCATACCTCCGGGGTCGATACATTGTCACCACTTTACTTTTACTTGTTGTAAACAAGAGATGAGCACGACCTCAATGTACATTCGAGCAGAAAATCAAGTTGACTTTTGACCAGTGCCTTTAAAGTGATCAACTGTGTACACAGTAGGGAAGTCAGATTTGTTTTCCCCCCCCCTAATGAGAGCTGCACTGCTACAGAATGGAGTGGACCACAGGTGAAATGCGCTGGGCCAAGATGATGAAGTTTGAGGCCGGTAGTAGTTCCTGCTTCGGTTGCACGTAACGAGCCTGTTAAACCTGTACAGTATACGCGGACACATCTCAAGCGTATGTTCAAGATAAGAGCCGAACTGCGCAGTGAAATACCGCAGCGAGGTTGGGGGTGGGGGGAGAGACAACACCGCAAGGTCACAGGTCAAATTCCTCTCGTTTGTGCCATGAAACAACGGAATTCATGCAAGTCACGACCAACCAACCATCGCGACCAACCGGACTCACCCGACCGGCACTGACATTACAGAAAGAAAACAGGGGGGTTGGGGGTCAAAGGACAGCCCCCAGCGTATGCGCTCGGCACGTGATGACCTACGCATTAAGCGTATTAGCGATGCATCGGGTTTTTTTTTACTTAAAAATCGATTATTGTAATCATGACAAGTGTAGACAATTGTGTGGGGTGTTTTTTTTTTTGTCACGATTCTTTACGATGTATGCAATGCTATGCAATTAATCTGCTAATAATCCATGCGTGGGCTTACGCAGCTGACAAAACGCGCGGGAAACACTTAGAACGAGACGATGAAACAGTTGACTTTGTTGAATCGGATTGCGAGCCTGAATCGCGACACTTGATGAAATCGCTGGGCGTGTGGATCGTTGCCGGCCACCGACCAATTCCGCACAGGCCGTGGCGACGTCCGCGCGTGTGTCGTGACATCAGTAGCGACTCGATCTCTCATCTAGCCTCGCCCCAGGCCTCGACTAAAACACCCGCCACACTCGTGGAACTCTAGCCTCGTCAAATCCCTTCGCACCTCAAAATTCCGAATTATCCAGGCACTCTTCAATGAGATGAAATCACCCCGCCGTTCCTCCTCAAAATCCCTCCACGGGATTCCAAACCACCCTCCCTGTCTTCAAGATCCTCCATGGACTCGCTTCTGCCTACTTCTCCCCCCCCACCCCCCACCCTCCACATGCCGCCCTCATAATGCATCAGATCATGCACGTCAGGCCTCCTTACTCGTGGTGCACGCAAATGTTGAGCACGTTCCACATTCACGTCAGATTTAAGATGATGAAGGGAACGGAACTGTACAGAGGAGACGGAACAAATAAAGAATTGCAAACAAGGCCACAAAATCAAGAATCAATTTTTGAATCAAATTACGGTCCCGAATTTTAACAATTCATTGCAACGCTGGGGTTGGTGGAATTATTCCCTGGCCTCAACCCGAAGAATATACACTCTTGGAAGAGTTTAAACAGCGGCTAGAAACAAATTCCTGACCGCGCTGATAAAAAATGTTATTTTTCACTATCAATACAAGAAACTTAAAACAACACATTAAAGTGTAGGGAGTTTGTGATTGCATGTTGACATTTATCGTAAAAAAATATGTTTTACAAAGAAACTACAGTGTCAAATAATTGTAAAAAAAAAACTGCGATGAGAGCGCAGAGGTTGGAGCCTTAGGACGATAACCGTGGCGCCGCTCCAGTGAATGCTGGAGGCGCCGGTGGGAGGTGCTGCGTGGTGGTGGTGCTGCGTGGTGGTGGTGCTGCGTGGTGGTGGTGCTGCGTGGTGGAGGTGCTGCGTGGTGGAGGTGCTGCGTGGTGGTGGTGGTGCTGCGTGGTGGTGGTGGTGCTGCGTGGTGGTGCTGCGTGGTGGTGGTGCGTGGTGCTGCGGGTTAATGTGACATCGTCTCGCCCACATGGGAGTCAAAAACCGGTCCTGCAGTTTTGCCTTCTTACCCTTCAGTGGCCTGCATTGAAATGTTCCGTGATCTCGGCTCCTTTTGAGCTCTTAACCATCATTAATGTATTTACTTATGTAATCTGTATTTATATAATTTATTTGTTATTTATCTACATGACCTGCTAACCTTTTCTTTACACACCAAGCGTTTTTTTTTCTGTTTGTTATTATATCTTGCTAATCCACCCATGCTGGACCTCTGTGAAAAAAATTTCATAGCTTATCAGATTCTTCCAGTATAAATATAGATTCTGATGAGGCCATGTGTAGAATACGCACACAAAATGGTTACGTCATCTTGACGTAACAAAACCTGCTGTGATTCTGGTTGAATTAATCTTAACGCGCAACACGCGGCATAGATTTCGATTTAAAGCTTTCGTGACTGCAAGGATTCATCTTCTTTGGTTCTTTCGGTAAAGTCACGTAGAATGAGAATAAAATAATTAATTGATCAAATAAAATAACACAATAAAATTCTCACGACGTTTCGGCCACAACACAAGCGGCCTTCATCACCTTCACCTGATGAACGCCGCTTGTGTTGTGGCCGAAACGTCGTGATAATTTTATTGTGTTATTTTATCAATTTATTATTTTATTCTCATTCTACGTGACTTTACCGATAGAACCAAAGAAGACGCGGCATAGAGTTTCCACTTCGGAGCTAACCCTATCATATGGGAAGAAGAAGAAGAAGATCTCTTCATACCGGAAGAGTAGAGAACTACATCTGAATGCATTGTCTTGAGTGGTGTATCATTATTTCGCAAGCGACAAAAACCAGGACTTTTAATGTCCCAGGACAATAGCTGCTTGAGAAAGAGGATGCTCCTCAGAATACAGAACAGGTGGCAATCCTAACGTGACTACAGTGAGTATATGAGTAGTCTAATATAATCAACAGAAGGCCTCGTTTAACCTTGAACGCCCGTGGGTAATAATTTCCCAGGCCATAAACCCAAACAAACCCAGCGTATTTATTACACCTGGCTGTAAAAACGGCAGACGTGAAACCTGGGGTTAAAGTGCACACCGAAGTTGGTACATGAATCCGGAAGAGCCGTACACAGATCCCTGTCGGTGAAATATTTTATCCACATCGGAGCCAAGATTGAATTGCCTTTCGGGTATTGTCACGGGTGTGTGATTTTACCAGGGATTTATGATACATCCGTTCATCGATTTCTTTTGCTCACAGTACACGCAGCGAGACCTGTGATTTATAAGCGCATGTTTTCAAACCATGCCCGAACGTGGTTGCGCCGCTCATTGTCCACGTGGCAAATCTTTTGTTCGGCGAGGACTGTTTCCGAGACTGGTTTAAAACGGCGCAAGTAACACCGCTCCTGGGAAAAGTTGGCTTGAACCATAGTGACACCGCAGACTATACCGCCCGATCTCAACCCCGAGTATGATTTCAAGTGTCACAGAGTGCCTGTGTCTGAAGCGGTCACTTCCCCATGTCGCTGCGACGGGCAGAATCAATCCAGTGCAGTCGTCATACCGGAAGTTCCACAGCACTGAGATGGCTCGACCAAAGATCACCGATGACCTCTGCAAGATCACGGATGGCCGGTGCGCCGCAGCGTTGGTTAGTCTCGATCTCTCGGCCACCTTCCACACCATCGACCATGAGATACTCACTGGGCGGCTAAGGTCAAGGTTCTGTGTATCGGGTACAGCACTTGGGTGGATTGAGTCATACCTACATGGTCGATCACAGTTCATCAAGCTGGGTGACAAACAGTCATCCCGTATGCCGTGCCTAGTTGGCGTACCACAGGGGTCTGTCCTTGGACCCTTCCTATTTCCAACATGTCTCGCCAATCGCCGATATCTCATTGCATGACATGAAGTTACATCAATTTGCTGTTACACAATTGTCCACCGCAGTTCGTCAAAGTTAGATATGCAGAGCCTCGGTAACTTACAAATTGAAAGTGTATTTCTTTAGAACTGCTTTTTTGTATTCTTAGTTTTTTCGGTAAAGTCACGTTGAAGAGAAACAACAAAATAATAAAATATATAAAACAATAAAAAATTCTCACGACGTTTCGACCATAACTCAAACGGTCGTCTTCAGGTGTGTTGGTTCGCATAAATTTATTTTTAAACGGCGCATTTATTTATTTATGAAAAAAAACGTTAGCGCCACGCGCAGCGATTTGGCAGTTTACCCAGGACTAGTCCATCTATATTCTGAAAAGAGGAGGGGGGAGACGAAATTTTTTATAATGTATGCTGTCTGAAAACCACTGTAAGCGTGAACAATCAATTAAGACCTGAAATGGTTTATCAAATCTTTCCAATGATTGCTAAGATAGAATCCATCTTCTCGGTTGAAATTGTCTCTGTGCTTGTATATGTGGATAGCCTCATGAACGAATCTCATGGAAGCCAGATGGCTTACAAAGAACCTCTGTCTTGGAAAAGTCAATGGCATGTGAGCCTACTGAATTAGAACAATTATCTGCCACGGCCGAGGTGTTGGTCCTACCGTGTTTAAGGTCTGCTTTGTGTTCACGAATGCGGTCCGAGACATGGCGCGAAAGAAGTCCAACATACAACGAGAGAGAACATCTTGATATAAAAAGGACCGCAGAGCTTGGGCAGTTGATATACGTGCCGGCTCACTGCCTGGCTTCTGCCTTTCCGCTCCTCTGGTTCCTCCTCACGCTTCCGAGTCGTTCACTCTCTCCAAGAGCGAACAAATACCACGCGGCGTGTTACAAGTTGCAATTATCATTGTGAAATGATATTTTCCTTCCATCTTAATGGGATCCCGGCACAGGGCGGGTGCAAATCACTAACGCAGGCGCTGCGACACGTGGCCCGTGGCACCGGGGTGTAACACAGCAGCGTGGCACGGGAGCGTAAGAGCGTGGTGCGCGCGCGAGCACCAATCGTCTCACCGAGCAGTAGCACGGTGTTGGACACCTCGGTGAACTTGCTGCAGGAGTGTGCCGACGACTCGGCCTTGCCCCAGCCCAGGCCCGCGCGCAGCAGCCGCCAGTTGATGTAGTCGCGGCAGAGGGCCTTGGCCTGCGTCACGAGCTGCTTCTCGCCGGGGCCGCGCTCCAGCGCGTCCAGGACCTCGACCGACAGCCGCAGAGACGACTGGCGCAGCAGGTCCATGGCTCGCTCGCTCATTGGGCTCTCCGGGCGGCCGCGACGGAGCGCAGCCGCGAAGCGGGCAGGAGCCCACCCCACCCCCCCCCGGCACCTGCCAGTTTGCCGCACAGACGCTCTGCTCAGATGTCGGGAAGTATAAACCGGCTGCGAAATTCGGCGCTTAAGTTTTATAATTTGCAAATCTGGTGGTTAAAGTTTGTTTTGTTCATCCAGGTGAGAACTCGAGAGACGAGGATGTAAGAGTGTCATTTGCATGACTTACCTGGGTCACCAAAATTACAAAAGCAAAACAAATACATTTTTGAATAAAAACAGCCGTGTCGCACAAGGTATTGAAAATGTTGCAAACGTAATTCTCTGCAGCGCAAATCGGCTCGGGCATACTAAAGGTATAGAGTTGCCTTTATACTGGTAGGAACGAAGTTGTAAACTGAGTGTACCAGCCTGCAATAGATGAATGTGTCCGTCCGTCCCCTTTCAATACTTTAACGAAGTGAAATCTCGTGCTGTTGGGTGTAAAATCAGCAATAGACAGCGCAGAGACTTGTCCTACCAGCCCACCCTGCAGGGACCTGTTATCATTCTGCCACCAGAATAATAAAAAAAGCCACAATCTCAGCTGTGTTTAGTTGGTGGCCACAACAAGGCTGTGGAGAATATGCACAAGAATGGTGATGTCATCTCTAAATGCAAAGATTGCTGGGATTCATTCAACCTACAGCATGTGGCTTAGGGGAGCTACCTGAGCTACAAAAAAATATATTTAATGGGAAGAACTGGGGGGAGAACTACATCTTAACACGCCGTATACAATAATTTCAAAATATAATTCCTCAACTCATTGCCGTTATTTTACTTCTCTTTCCATCAGAACAAATCTGATGGAGACATAATTAGAGACTGGTCTATTCATATGTAACATTTACATAAACCATTCCTACGCGAGGCAACATTTAACGGCTTCCAAGCCACTTGTCAATATCGTACACACTTTGAAAATGCACGTTACGTGCTTTGCTGATCCACATTTGGATAATGATATGCTAATTACTCCCCAATCAGACAGTATTGTTGATTGATTGCTGCCTTTTAGATCCTTCTGCATTGCTGGCATTGTCTCCCAGGGCCAAACTGCCCAGAGGCAAAACAAAAATTTGCCATAAAACATTACGCAACACTCGACACTTCCCAGGTCTGTCTCGCAAACATTAATTTCAATTGCCTCTTACCTCTTCCCCTTCAACTTAAGGAAACCCTAATCTCTTCCCCTTACAACCTAACTGTGTATATGTCTTTTATCACAGCATCCCAAGATGTGGCCAAATTCACGCACTTGATGAATTCAAATTGTATTGAACTGAATAAGGGGACACCGAGTCAGCTGCCAATTTTGATTTTGCCGAGTGGACTTGGGTGACGGGACTCCCTCGAACGCTCCCGGGAAAACGCACGCCCCGAACCGCCACACCCCGTCTGTTTTGCTTGCCGATTAAATGATGAAGTCAGCCGGCTACTCAAAGCTACACACAGCTTCGAGCTCAAGCTTGGCAATTCAACATTGAGTGCTGGCACCCAAACGGGGCCTCTCACACTTAAGGACGGTGCTTATCCATTTCTCCCCCTGAATTCAGAGCCAAAGAAACTTTGTGTAAATAAACTTCCGAAGTACATACACACGCCCACGCACAGAAAGGCTAAACTCCTTCTGTTTAGAATTGCTGATTTGCCAGTGCAAATGCTCAAAGCGAGCAGCATGATCAGGCCCCACGGAGTGCACGAGTTAGAGGGTGGTATGGCCGACTCGTACACATCTGGACGCCTCGTGTCTCCTCACTGATGAAGCTGACCACATCATCGTAAATGTATATACAGCATTAGGCTGAGCGAGCAATAAGGGAGCCCAAAGCCGCGTTCAGATGGCAAATATAATTATTGACCTTAGAAATCCAACCCGGATGGTCAAGTTTTGGCGGAACATGAGAAAGTGGAGCAGTGTTTGAGGCACTCCACCACCACTCCCTGTACATATATTCTATGGACAAGAACAAAGACGGCCCATTGAGATACATAGACTTTCAGAACAAGTGCTGTCAATGCAGGGGGCTCACTTATCACATGCTGTACTGCAACAAAGACAAACATCCCCCTTGTAGCCTTAACAGACTGTTGAGGCAAGTGCTCTTAGCGAGCACCTATGACACCCAGAAAAAACACACGAGGTGGTGGGTGTGGCCAGCACTGTGCCCATTCACCTTTGTCTTCCCAGTGCTGACGTTTACACATCGCACCTAGGTACTCATTTAAGGTTATGTCGACCTAGAGGAAGTCCAGGACCGGATCAGGTAATCATTTACTGGTCTTGGTGGCCGTGATCTCAAATCGAACTCGGGTCGCCAGGTTCATGGCACAGCACACCAACTACTTGCGCATGGGTAGTACACTCACGCGCACACACACAATTCTGTCAGCCCATCCACGGATTCTATCAGTCCATCCACGGATGGTTGCCTTATTATTTTCAATGTGAGACATTAAAAACACAACCGAGTGTAGTTCTACGACCTTAAGTATATAAACCGAAGCCGTCCTGATTTTACAACTAAACTCTATATACAGGCAGTTGGAAGAGGGTCGCACAGATGACCCAGGATGCTGCTACTGTACGCGTTTAGTCACTGGTCACCAAGCATTGTGTAACGTTACTGTGAAGAACTATGGATCCCCTGGTAATATAAACAGCAAGTGTCACGAAACATATCCATGCGGCGCACACAGGAAGCACATATTTATGCAAGATGCACATCGGTGACACGTTCATGCAAGACGCAGAATAAGAATGCTCTTTTTTTATCCAGGAAATCGAAAGGGGGTCCTGCATTTGAGATGTTTGGCCAATTTCATTCAATAGTGTTTGGCAAGTGCCGGGAAAGCTGAGTTCCCCGAAAACACCCGCCCACCGGTACAAGGGAATAACTCTCAAAACGTCTGCACAGACGGATTTAATCCTCTGCTGGACTGTAGAGCTACTCCGCATTCCCAGCTCGAGGTTTCGGTCTATGGGTGATTGAGCTTTTTCCCCGTTTAGCCCCCAGGCTATGAAATGCTCTTTCACAAGATATCAAGGATCTCCGAGTCTGTGGACATTTAAAAAATGTGTCTTAAAATATATTTATACGCTTCCGCTTATTAAACTTTTACTTCATTTAGTAAATGGATTATAATATTATATTTATGCTGAGTGTGTGCTGCTGCTGTGTCCTGTACAGTGCTTTTAGATCCTTGGTGAAAAGTGCTATATACATGGAATAATTATTATGTCACGCAACTTCCCAAACCTTAGACACCTGGTTATTTCCTAACATTTCTCTCCATGGACTCAGCCAGATGCAAATATATTTAATTAGCATCCCGAGATCTGACTAAATAACATACATTCAAGATATCAGGATATACGAGCTCGACTAAAGATTTAAACATGCAGGAATGTTGTCAAGTGGCTATATGGTTGGCAGTAAGGCAATGGATTCTTGAATCTATACTTGCGGAGCTTTGAAACTGGTCAATCATGCTAATGGAGGACCTTACTGAAAAAGCCTTGAGACTCTGTCTTTCCTAATATTGCTCAACCCTATCCTAATGTCACTAAGCCTGACCTGCCCTAAACGTGGCACGGCCAGTTTTTGACACAGCGCTTCCAAAGGCTTATTTATTTTGAGAGCGGCACACTCAACTGTGTGGGAGCATGTGAACCATCAGCGAGCCAGGCACTAATAAGAGCTTCACAATAGCATCATCAGCTCATCAGCGCTGATGGGGACAAACAAATATCCACTGTGGGTTACTCTCCTTCGCAACTGTTACTGCGTCATTGCATCTAAATCCTATTCATCTAGATTGTTTACCCCTGCGTGTACATATTGCACTGACGTAGGGCCCTATTTAAAAGGCTTTACATTTGGGCATCACCTCCCCCCCACCATTGGGTTGTTTCTAGATCATCCTCTTCATTGTCAAGCATTGCATCCTGTCCGGGTTCGTTGACTCCTAACCACCAGCGCAGAACAATAACCACGATCATTTCCTATTGTAAACGGAGACCCATCATTTCAGCTAGAGGGTCGCTCTCATAGACTAAGCGACTAAAATAGATTCTTACGCTCAAACTACGACCATAAATGTGCATGTGAGAATGTATTATTCATGATATAAACATAATATTCCGATGTAACTCAATGCCAATAGAACAGACATGAAAGATCAAAATCAAAACCATTACAAATGAGATAAAAATAATGTCATTTTCGCCCTGATGCAGCCCCCTTTCCTGGCCTTAGGGATGATTCCTCTCAATAGTAGTAAGTGTTATAAGCAAGCTAAACAAAAGCTTTGTGCCCCAAGCAGCAATGATTGGCAAGGATAAATAAAATAAAATAATTACGATTAATTTAAATAAATTTTTTATTCTGAATTAATCTCTCTTCTCTCTAATCCAACTCCCGCATTTATCTCTTGTCGACCTCACTCTCATTTCACTCCATCCGTCTCGTCTGTATCTCTCTCTTCTCACTAAGTAGACATTCATTTCATCTCACGATATCTCTGACATCTCTATATTATCTATAATCATTTCTGTATCTCTATATCTGAATTGAAAAAGGGTGGAGGCAATTTTTTTTTATTTTTTTGGATCCCCCAATGGGCCAGCGCCACCACCGGCTCCTCTAAACAGCGGCACGGATGTCCCGATCACGAGAGCCGCGTTCTGATGCGTGTACTGCAGAAACCAACCGTGCGGAGAAAAACACATCCGGTGAATATCAAACTTCTCTTGGGTTGACATTGAGTACATAATGCTAAAATAAATAATTTCATCATGTACACACATCCACATGGGAGCTCTCCCTTTCCCTGCAAATTCCCCATGACTTTTGTGGTTCCACACCCACGCAGTCCCAATCTCCCTTCACTCAGGCCTTGGACAATACTGTACATTTGTCAAATACAAATTTAAAGCACCGTCCACAACGCACTCTCGAGTACGAAACCAGCACGAGCGCTGTGCCTGATCGTCATCTGCGGTAATTTCACAAT